ATTGTTTTGCATATGATACGTTTTATTAAAAATGACCCCACTGGGCGTGGCTTAAACGGTTAACTAAGCAGGGTCGTATTCAAATATAATTAAAGTCCGTATGCAGAATTACAACTTTGAAATGACTTAAGATTTGTTTCAACATAATCGATTCGGAATTTTTTTGATGACATTGCGCAATTATGACTATGAATTTACTATTATTTATTAACCGTTTTCCGACCAAGCCAATGCCAAGACCATAAAAGAGATTAATAGTATTATATTGTTCTGTCTTCGCCAAAACCGTCCGATATATGACCTGTTTGATCGAAAATCAACGTTCGAATAATACAGTGCATCAGATTTGTTAATCTCTTTGTGCTTTAAAACTAAAACCCGAACTACGATTTTTCGTTCAAGGACTCTCTTGTCTTGATCAAAGCTGCCAATGTCAAAATCTGACAATAAGGAGAATTATGACATCAAATTACCAAACCAAAAACCAAACCACTACGTGAATTGTGAATAAATATATTTCAGTAAAAATACAGCCGAGTTTGTAGAAAGGACAATTAATTACTTTTAAATGTAAAACATTTAGGTCTTTCTGCTGCAGATGACATACATTAAAAATATGACCCGCTACAGTCAAAAGTTTAAAAAGACCAAAAATTCAGCTAGGTTAAAAGTAGATGGAAGAAAACCATGATCAAAACTACTCTGTCAAAACCAATCGGAACTAAAAAGACTCAGATACTAGTTATTGGTTTTATTTATGTTTGAAATAATTAATTATATAGGGTAGGTACATATATTACTAAAATTGCAAGCAAGTACTTACTAAAGATTTCTATAATTGGTACCTATATATAATAAACAACAATCTCACAGATGCACAGCATACAACTATACAAATGGAATTATAGAGATAATTTATTTTAAAAATAGGCATTTAGTTGCGATTTGTGATTAGAAAAAGAAAACTTTAACCACTTTTTCTGATCAGTAATGTTAGTGTTATAGTGAAAAAGTTTCTAGAAATTGGTGTTTTTAATCCTAATAGAGCATTGTGAATTTCCAAGAAAAGTGCACGATGAAAATTGTTTTGACCAAAATTTTGAATGTCATGCCATTTAAAAAGAAACCCTGTGACGGTGTATAACATTTGACACAAAATCTTATCCTAAAAATAACTGTTTGGTTGCATTGGAGGAGTAATTTCTTCATTGGTACTTTTTTAGGGTGCAAGGATGACTTGACATTACTAAATTTAAACCTTTGTTATAAGTTGTCTTTTTGCTTTAATTTCTGATACACCTGTATTGTACATACTTAAAAAATATAAAATTGTTCAAGTGGGAAGTTTATATACAAGTTGTCTCATAGAGAAAGGGATATAGAACAACTGAAGAGTCTGATTAAAAATAAGACTATGCTTAGAATGCGAATAGTCTTCATTTTAATTTTCAAGTTTCTTTTAAAATCTTCAATATGTAGAACGTTCGCACAAAAATCTAAGGCAGTTGCGACGCTTTCGCTAAATAGTTGGGTTGCAAGACGAACTTTCATTTTTTGTTTTTTAAAAGCTATATGTTGCGAGTTTAGCTTATTTGCTAAGTGGAAAGATTCATTTTCCTGTAATTCGTGAATTTGTTTGAAATACTTCCACTCAACAATTTTATTTTCTTTATTTACAAATGAATACTTTTCTGCTAAAGTATTTCTAATTAACTTTAGCATATGTGGCGGATCTAAAAATATAATAATTTCTTCATTATTTGATGGATGCTTGAAACTAGTTTTTAAAGTTGTATGATGTAAGAGTTTGGCCATTGTTGGATTATTATAAGCACCATCAAATGTTAAGCTTACAACACTAACACCTACTTCATAACATTTCTTTAAGCATTCTAATACCAGCCCCTTTTTCTGTTCACCTGTCATACTTGAAATTAAAAAATATCCTACTGGAATTTTCCAGCTTCCATTTACACAATTTAATAAGAAAACAAGAGCATTGTTTGCAAGCGTAGTTTCATTTGCACCCGTTCCTACATCTACACAACCATAACTTCTACGTTCGCTTCCAACTAACTCCTCATGTTGACGAATTGCCATTTCATCCATAATAAGTGCACAAATTATTTTTTCATTGAAAGAATTTAATTTAATCTGTAAGGCATTGAAAGCCTCACTTGTGAATCCAGGCTTACCTTTTATACTTTGATACCATCGACTGATTGTACGGACATGTGGTAAGCAAGTGTCAAATGTTCTTCTTACATAATTATAAGCAGCAGGTGAGTAATAGTGGAGAGTTAAGGAAAACACTTTTAGCTCTTCTGAATACTTCTGAGGCAATGATAGGTTAGACTTTTTTTTTAATTGGCTGCTACATATCTCGATGGGGCCTCTAAGTTTTGACATTATATCTAAATCATCTTTCTGTATCAAACGTTTTTTACTTAAATCATTTTTAATATATTTTTTAAGTTGGCAATTTTATTCACTTTTCGAGAAAGTTGTCGTCCTAGCAATTTTAATTTTTGCTTTCTTTTTGCACTTGTTGCCCGGACAGAGGAGAGTGTATGTAATATTTTTTGTTTCTTTGGCGTCAGCGGTTCTTCATATGGAATATTTAGAGAAGAAGTAGAGGGTACAGGTAATTCGATCTGACTGGTTTGATTTGCTGGTTTAATAAGAATATTTGATAGGATCCTGATTTTTTGAGGAGGAGTTGTAGGTATGGATGGGTTAGTCTGGAACAAGATTTGATATGTTATAAAGCCTTAAATATAGATCCATGATACAAAAGCTACTAGTTTAAGTTCCAAAACTACTAATTTTTAAATATCATTAACTTCGTAATATGTTTTAAATTATATTTATTGTGTATTGTGAACAAAGTCGGCAGGTTTTTAAATTAAGGAACATCAATTTAATGTTTGTTCATTTATTATTAATAATAATTGTAATGTGGTACATGAGCGGGCATATTATTTTATATCATGAGGATGAGGAGGTAGCAGTGAGTGATGGATCTAATTAAATAATAAAAATACATCAGCAATATTTATTATTATACAGTATATTCATTATCAAAACGGTATAATAATAGGAAATTAGGATCTAATAAAAACTGCTTTTATACATACACTTTTATACCAAAAATTGTTCATTTTAATGTCCCCTACCACCCCTAAAAGTTTGCCGGTATATTTATGGGACACCATGTATATGTAAATATTAACTCAGTACCTTACACTAAAAATCTCCAGGACAATTAAATCATATTTACGACACCTAACAAATAATATCTATAACCCTGTCCGTAAAAGATCCAAGTGTCTGGGACCATAACCCGAAGTAATAAATCGACCACCCCTTTTCTATCCACCCGAATTTGTTTCCACCAGAGTCACGACCAGTTAACGTCACAAAGGGTGATTAAATCGAGTATAAAATCCCGATCCCGAGGTACTCGAGATTCATTAATAAATCAAACTCAGTTTAAATGATTTCAAACTCCAGTCATTCATTACTCTTTAAATCTAGTATATTTTCTAGTTCAGTATCCAGTATCTTTCCTAAATCGACGCTGTTTCTACCCAATCTGCTATCGACACTCTTACCTCGCGACGACTTATCTCCCGAACGTTGCCATGTTTCGACGCTCAACGTCCAGACGTGATCTTTCCTATCCGACGCTCTACATCTCGATGCCCTAGATCCCATTCGATGCTCTACGTCCCTACATCTCTACCTTTCTACATCACGATGCTTTCGCTTATACGATGCTCTGCGTCACGACTCCCTCTCTACACCACGCCGCTCTACATTCCGACGCTCAACATCCCGGTGCTATGCATCCCGGTACGTCTTAATGCCCCGTCAGTATTTTTAAATCAGCAATACTTCCACGTATCAACAACAATATAAAAACGTCAGAAATAGATGGTGAGTCAATAATTTAAAAGAAATTTAATATTAAATTATGTTATTATAGAAATGTATTGTTAATTAACGTCACATTTGTGCCGCTGGATGGACAAGTCCCAGTATGCATGTGCCGCTTTAATATACCAGCCTAAAACTATTTAAGAATTTGGTTTACCGAATTGTCAATGCACTCTCGCTAATAGCTACCAAATATCAGGTGATTGGGGTAAATGACACATCGCATTCACATCCTATGCTTGATGTCACTGCAGGGTTGGACTATTTTATATAGTAATCTCTCAATCTTCGCACCGTAGGTAGATCTGAACATAAGGGGTAGTTTGCTGGTATTGATCAGGCTCTATTATAGTAGGACTACACTAGGACTACACTACATAACCCCCTAGGTGAGGCTAAAACATAACGGATATCCGTCTGTTATAGCAATAAGCGCACTTATATAAAAAAGAAACGACCAAACTAAGAATTATTCAAGATAGTGCAATTCTAAGGACGTCTGCTGTATATCCTCAAGAATTCTATAACAGTCTTTAAAATTTTAGCTAGAAACCAAAATCATATTTTTGACTAAAAATTGTAAACAAAACATCACACAAAATTATCATATCATTCTAATAAATGCGAGTTAAAACGGCTTAAAATGAAATATACTTAACACTTTTACGTTTTAATTATTACTAAATATTCTTAAGTTATACGCTCATTATATAGTGATTTTTTTATATTATTAATAGCTTATTGATATTACTGGTATATAATCTGTATTTTAATCGTCTAATTTGTCAATTTTGTAGGTCTTTTATTTTTTATCTTCAAAATAATTTTTATATGTCTTAAAAAAAGTCGCGAATCGTTGTTACGCCGCTGCATAGGAGGATTATGGGTAATTCTAGAAGTACATTATTTCCGGCCGACCATAATCATTTAAAAATTGTAATAATATAGAATTTTTTTATTCTGACAAAATGGAAGATATATTGACCAACCTGTTTAATGTTTTGTCGTGTTTGAACTATATTCAGCTTCTCAAAAAGAAGAAAGCATACAATAAAACTTACCGATGGTTTTAATAATGTTGAAATCCTCAATGTCATAGCCGTCCTTTTCTTTGTCATCGTCTGAATACTCTTCGCTTGTAACCGCCGATGATGAATCCAAACTTTCAGTGCTCTCTTGCCTACTGCGGATGCTGTAGTCAGCCATTGTGTGAAAGTAGTAATTAGTTATAACTATTATGTTCACTATTATGGCACTTATAGTACAGGAAAAGTCGTCATCGACATTCAGTTTATGCGCCAACTGAAAATAAAAGAGTTTTAAGAAATTAATGATGCTTGTAAATGATTAGATATTACAATAAAACGTTTTTTTTTTTATTTTATAGTTGCTGTTATATTATACTACGCTTGGTTGGTGATTTCACTGTCTTTGATTTTGTCGCAGCTCCGTTTTTGTTTCGTTTTATCAGAAAGTAAAAGTAATGTTCCAGATATTGAGATTATTTTATTTGAGTTGCCGCTATACAGGGTGTTCCAAATCTCTAATAAAGTTCTAAATCTACAGTTCAATAAGAAATTCACTATCTGTTGTAATTTGTGTCTTACGAGAACAAGTTTAAATATTATTTAAGTTTTTATCAACGAGTTTGGACAAATCGTGCTAGGTTAACTGTTTTCGCGGGTCTTAGTTATTTTGTTTTATTTAAAATTAAAGTGTCTCGACTGCCAGGGTCATTGACATCGGTACAAAATAATATATTATTATTATTATATTATACAAAAACAATTGAGTATCTATAACTTGTAAAGGATATTAATGTCTTTTAGGAATTTAATAATGTTAATTATTTGGTCTTGAGACTTCAGAACTTCTTTCAGATTTGGTGGTAGATTGTAGATTCTCTTGTGATTCGCAAAATCTGGGCAGTCTATGATGATGTGCTGGACGGTTAGGGAAAGCATGCAGCTCTGACACATCGGTGGATCTTCGGTAGCCATTAAGTAATCGTGTGTTATAGTCTATTTTTATGTATGAGAGAGTATTAAAATAATAAAGCGTTCGTAATCCATAGGCGTAACACTTCTTTTAGTAGACAGTTAAAATATTTTTTGAAGTTATTCCTCGAGTATACACTTGTATTTTCACCTAATTAACCTGCTTATAACTTCTAAACAGCTGAAGGTAAAAAAGTGCAATTTTTTCTAAAATGTTTTATTTTTCCACAAGGTATGTTAAGAACATTGTGTCAAACGGGTTATGTAGGTATAAGTGTTTAAACTTTGACTTTTAAACCACGTTACGTTCATAAATAATAATTTTAATATAAAAACTACTTCTTACCTACAAATCCAAATCAGAATCGAAATCAGAAGATGAACTATCGCAACCAATATTTACAATGAGTGGCTCGATCATTTCATCAGTAATATTCTCCAACTTCCACATTTTCTCTTCTTCTTTAGTCGTATGATTTACTGCCTTTTCCCAGTTTTCAGGCTTCACATTATTTACAGCCTTCAAAAACAACTGTTTAACATCACTCATTTTAAAAGAATTATTTTTTCTTGAAACTTCTCCCTTTATCTGTGCCCATATCAGTTCAATCGGGTTTACTTCGCAATAATATGGTGGTGATCTAACCACCGTCATCCCACGATTTTTTGCAATTTCATCAATTTCATATTTTTTGAATTTCTCTTTATGAAGGGAACACAAATATTACAGTTCTTTTCTCACAGAACCGGGATGGAACTTAATATTCTTTGAATTTAGCCAATTCTGTAAATCTTTTTTTAACCACTTGGTTGTGGGCATTTTTTCTATAAGTCTCGAGTGATAACTTGCATTATCCATTACTATTATACAGTTCTGAGGAAGAAGATCTATAATTTGTTCGAACCACTCTTTAAAGACATCAGCATTCATGTCCTCATGGTAGTCACCGGTACGAGTAGATTCAAAAGTCAATAAACCACCTTTAACAAAACCATTTGAACTACCGATGTGTACTATTATTAGTCTGCATCCCTTTCCTGATGGTGGATTTAAACCAGTAGATAAATTATTTAAAAAAGCTTGTCTTCGACTTGTAACAGTTTCATCTTGCCAAAATTTATTTGGTTTATGTCCCTCGTTGATCCATGTTTCATCTAAATAAAATATATTTCTTCCTTGGTTTCTCATTTCTTTTATAGTCCTTAGGTAATTTCTTCTCTATACTACAATATCGCTTCTTTCTCTTAAAATAGACTTTCTGGAATGCTTTTTCCATAGAAAACCTATTTCTTTTAAAAGTATCCATAGTGTGCTTCGACTCATTTCAGGGTAATCCTTATCATCTCGAACCGTGGCAAGAACTTTGTCTACTGTCGGAAATTCTTATCTAAAGAAGAACGCATTCACTTTCCTTCGAAGTCTTTCTTTCAAAAGATTTTCTAATTGAAATTTTGGTTTTCCTGGAGCTGTACGTGCTGTTTGAAACTCGCCACATTTCTCTTCTTTAACAACTCTGTAAATCGTAGATTTCCCAACACCAAGCGTATTACTAACTAATTCCACTGTGTCATCAACACTTTTACATAAATGTTTGTCTGTAAATGATTTAAAACAATTAAATATTAATGTTTTTTCATTAACTGTTAAAGGACCGATTTTTTGTCGTTTACGCGGCCCTTCCAAATTTTCCATAATCACACTAGAATTCACACTGCACCTTGCAAGTTGCAACTAAACGACATTTAGTCAAGAATACATAACTTGGACCTCCTTACTAAATGGAAAACCTATAATCGTATTTTCGGTGAAATTTGTTGGGAAGGTATTTATCTACTTATAATTCGATTACTGTAAGAAATTCTTGGAATTAAAATAAAATAAAATTGGCAAATAGGTACTTATTGAAAATAATCTTAAGATACGGCTATGTAATCTTTAATACACAGGGCTTTTGGCCTGTCCAAACCTTTTTCTATTGTTCTGTACAGCTTATGTTTATAAAGGACCAATAAAAGACCCAAAACTTGTAATAGCTCAGGTGCATTTATTACAATTTTAGGAAATATTTAGATTATTCTGTAAAAATATTTAAAATGACCGTACTAAGTTTTGCATTAGAAATGCTGTTTTATTGCTTTCTCATACATAAAAATAGACTATAGTCGAGTATGACCGATTAGAAGTCTTCGGATGGTTATTTTGTTATTTCTTGAAAGATAAGTCATTTTAAACGATTCGATGTTTGGTTGGATATCACGTAGTTTAGATGTTATTGTATTCCAGTAGGTTTTCCATGTTCTCCTAATATTATTTTTTGAAAAAGTTTTGGATGTCTTTATGTAGCTGAATGTTTTCCATTGCTAAATTTGATGAAAAAGCATCCTTAGCTACACGGTCGGCTGCCTCGTTGCCTGGTATACTCACATGTGATGGTATCCAAATCACTGTTATGGATATTCCTTGCGCAATGAGAAGAAAAGAGAATTCATGTATTGTTTGGACTACTGAATTTTGTGAGGAACAATTTTTTATTGGCATGATTGATGCAAGTGAGTCTGTGCAAATGGCCACTCTTATCGTGTTTATTTTAACAGATTTTACAGCTTGGTAGATGCCGAAAAGCTCGCCAGTGTAAACACTGGTAAAATGTGGGAGAAGATTTTTAGAGATGATATCAAGGCCAGAGATCACAGAGCATCCGACATACTCTTTTATATTAGAAGCATCTGTGTATAGGATGGTGTCGAATTGGAAAGAATTTATTAATTCTAGAAAGATACTTGGAGTTTCGTTTTTAGGGTCATGAGCTAGTGTGGGATTAAGAAGTCGTAGACATTTTTCCCATGGTGCCATAGGAGATATAGGAATTGGAGTTGTTTGAGATAAATCGATATCAGCGAGAAGTAGAGCAAGGATTTGTGGTAATATTTGACCATTATGAGTGGAAACGTGGACGTTCGAATATGCCGCGTTAATTAAGGAATATGCTGGATTTTTGGGATTTGGTGAAACCCTTGCAGAGTAGATAAGAAGCAGCTGTTGTCGCCTCAGCCAGAGAGGTGGCTCGTTAGCTTCACAGCATAAACTTTTAGAGGGGCTGGATTTAAAGCTCCAAGGCTTATTCCTAATGCAGAATTTTAAACAGAATTCAGAGTTTTTAGAGCAGATGAAGCTTCCGAAATCTATCTTGGATGTAATTAGTGCTCTGCACACCCTGAATAAAACTTCTTCTTATGTCCCCATTGATGGCGAAATAACGATTTAAGAATATTAAGTCTGTTTAGGCAGTTATTTTTCAATTCGCAGTCATAAGTCATAAGATCTTGTGATGGTCGACTACTGCTAAAGGACTACCGTTCATATTAGGACTTAACGTGCAGGATGATCGTCTGCTGAACTTTAATACTTTTGATTTTGTAGGAGAGAAGTATAGGCCTGTTTTTGTAGCCCACAGCTTATTTACAGCTTCTTGGATTAGTGTAGAGCAGTGGTCGCCAACCTCTTAATGTGTTGAGCTACTTTGTTAATTTTGAAATAAACAGCGAGCTACCCACACGGAAGCCACGTAACGCAACGTAAATGAAATAATCCACAGTTAATTTATCATTATATGTATTTATTTTACTATTTAACTGGTAATACATAATACATAGGTACTAATAATAAACTAATAACAAAATAACTAATATTACTAGTACGTACTTGTTCATAGCTACATTCCTACCCACCAAACGAAGGTGTTTGAAAAATAACCACAAACTTTTATCCTGCCACAACGGTATGTCACGTAAGATTTAAAAATAGTTAATAATATCAACAAAAAAGTAACGCACTATCATGAACATAAACATTGAAAAATAAAAAATCACGTTCAATGAGAAGGCTGACACTCAAACTCATCGATAATTTTTTAATGTTTTGCAGTATAATTTGGTACAGCCATTCGAATACAATTATCCAAATGTTCATCTGTAAGTCGATTGCGATATTTGTTGTTAATTAACTTCATATTGGAAAAAGAAGATTCACACAAATAGGTTGAACTGAATAATGCTTTCACTTTCAAGGCAACACGGCATAGAACTGAATTTTGTCTTTACTTATAATAGGCCAGATACATTTGGTACTTAAGTCTAATGATTTTAAGGCTAAATCATTTTGAAACTTAATTACTTCCATTTCTGTTGCAGCGATGTCTTCGCCAAAGTTCTGCATAACACAAGTTGCAAACTGTTGGATATCAATTTCTATAAAGGGTGAAACAACAAACTGCGCTACTAAAGCCATTTTGTTGAAATCCTTAA